TTGCTTCTGTCCAAGTAAGAACACTGGAGATAGGTTTTGAAGGCCGTTTTCTCAAGTTTACCAATTAGATACTTCTCTGTCATATTGTAAGGCATGGTTTTGGAAAAGTCAGAGATAACTCCCGTAGCAAATAATCTGCTTTTGCATTGCACCTGCAAGAATATGCAAAATGGGCACAGAATGCCAAATTCTCTGCTGTTGTAATAGGCACAGCTTCACTGACTTTAAGGAGATTTTGCATATTTATATTAGGAAAATGCCTGGCTTGAGGTAAATCTTGCCATTAGAGAATACCTAGAGCTAAGCTGATTCCAATTCTACATAGAGAGACTGGGGGAGGCAGAGGGTGGAGCTAGTTTGTGAACTATGAGTGTGTAACCATTAAAAGACAGAATAACAACTCAAAATACAATAAAAAAACAAATGCCAGACACACCCCACAGATTCTCCCAGTATACACGTATACTAGGCACAACAGCATTCTGCAAACGTGGTTGACAGTGCATGTTTTCCCTCACAGCCCTGAAGCAAAACAGGAAAATATAGCCAAGCTTTCATGCATGGGGACTGGGGGAGGAAGGGAGGGAGTGGTTCTCTCTGCTTCCAAGATATTTCACATTAGTGAGCACTGGGCAAAGTGAATCAACAGCTTCAGTATTGCAAATCCCCTGCTCATCACCTCCCAGATTTGCTTCAAAATTACCTCAAATCTTCCGCCTCAATGCACATCAAGTCCACGGGGACTAAAAACAAAGCAAAGTCTGCCATCCAGCACTCCTATAATAAGCATCTACTGCTGACTTCTCTCCTTTTTTGGTGGCAGTCGTTGAGGTATGAAAACTGCCACAGGTAATTGGAAGTATGATGTACTGCTGAGGCTCACGGTGATCTAAGAGTAGTTGAGAACATAAGAATCATAGTTTTATTGTCTGTCTCCTGATGTCTATAAATCCTAGCTTTTACTATCTTTGTTTTCATCATGCCAATCAAAGGCTTGATTGCCTAAGGAATAAATTACCAGATAAATCACTGTGTGAATATATAGTTCTCTCCTTGACAGTGCCTTATTTTTTGTAATACCAGATGCACCTGCTACAATTCCACTATGAAAGGCATTGCACATATAGTTCAGTGATGTCACACCACAGAAAAAGGATTGCATTACCACGAGACAGAGTAAATCAACAGCATAATATGGAGAACAGTGTATCTGCAGAAACAAAGCTGTGGGGATGAAGAGGCAGAAGGGAGGGCAGTCTGCCTCATAATGTAGCTAACAGGATGAGAAAACACTTACCTGGAAGATTACAAATTTGAAAGTCAAAGTCCAAATGTAGTTTCAAACCAATTATATTATCTACCTCTAAATAGTTGCAAGAACTCCAGAATCTTTTAATTCCCTCTGGGGGAGCCAATTTTATCTGCCATGTAAGTGGTGTCTCTAACAACAGTCAAAACACATTTCTTGAATAGTTATAAAAACTTCCACAGGCCTACACCAGAGCTGTGTCAAAATCAGTGAGGATAAATATGGAAAGCATTACCACAGGCAGTCCTGAAAGTTAGGTGTAGAGTTTTAAAATAAAGTCATAGGTTCGAATTCTAGTATGTACTGGAGGCTTTAGTGCAGTGCTACAAATGACCTGCTACAAATGACACTGAAAGGACTGCAATAATTAGTGTAAGTTAGATAAAAACATCAAAGAGAAAATAAAAATAATTTTACAAGATTTTGGCTACCTCAGAACCAGGACAAATGCATCTGGGAGCATTAAATGTGACTGATCTCTAGGAATTCTTGAACAGTGTGTTTTTGGAAGTCTAAATTAGTCCACAGACAAACTACTTCGCCTTCTATGTGATGTATTCTCAAATTTTAAATGAACTCTTTAGAGGACAGTCTTCACTTACAGGATTGCTGTTCTAAGGATTTTCCTTGATGTAGAATGGTTGAGTTTCAGTTGTCTCCAGCTGAGATAGAATTAACTCAAACTCCTTATATCAGCTACTGTTTTAACAGCTATGACTATATGTAAACAGTGGCTCTACATCTGCAATTTAGAAAGCACTCCAGACTTTCTGTAAGCACTTGAGAAATGCTAAGATCGTATCTAACAAATTGAGTTCTTCAGGGTATTTTGGTGCAAAAATACTTAGCTTTTGAATTTTAAAATGGAAGTAGATGTTAAGGTGACAAGTTCTGGAAATACAGAAGCACTCTAGGCACATGAGGAATGAACTTGAAGCTACAAAGGAGCAACCTGAACTGCTCATATCCCAAGACCATGCCCTTGGCATCAGGTTAGTATATGCAGACCAAGGGGTGCTAGCTGTCTACAAGCATTTTAGCTATATATAGAAAATCAGGTGTGGATTTTTATACATTTTTTTTGAATTGTTCTATTAAATCTAGTTGCCCATGGATTGCACTCCAGGTACCTAAAGGATATCTTGAATTTTATCCGTAGCAAATGACTGAAACCTTGGATTCTGAAATGTAAACAGTGCATTGGATGTCATGGTGGAACTGAGCAACAATTTTCAGACAACAATTGTACAATAATTGAGGATTTGAAATAATCTGAAGGACATCCAAAAGCAAAGGGTAGGTAACATATCCATCTGTGGCTTATGCTTGCGTGTCCTGGCTCACTGTGGTTCTGAAGGAAACTGGTGAAATATTTTAGGAAGTTTTGCCAGGGAATTCTGTTTTCCCAAACCAAAATCTCTTAAAAAACAAAACAAATAAAAAACAAAACAAAACAAAAGTTTAAAGTGTCAATTAGAAAAGATTTGAGTATAAAAAAAGTGTGGGAAAGTAGGGCAAAATTTTCAGCCTTCTTCCCTGAACCATAATAAGACAGTGTCCACTGGGGGGAAAAAAAGAGATGGAGTTCAGAACAGAAACTTCAAGAGTACAGAGAGTTTAGAGCTACTTGGAAAACGAATGCTGAGTACTCACAGTTGTGCAATGAAAGGAGAACTGTGAATCAAATGTAATAATGGTATATAATGCTTTACAGTTAGACTTTGTTTTTTGGCTGGGAGTAGCTTTTTTTTTTTTTTTTTCTTCCTAAAGGCACCACAAACCCATTACATTCACTTGCTAGTTTTGTGTGATGGAGCAGGGATGTGGAAAAAGCTGTAAAACCGATTTCCTAATGAAATGATCCATGTATCACCACTATAAAAACACTGCAAGATTTCTCATTTACTAAGGGTCAATTTCAACCTTCTAGAAAGTCTAAAATATTAAAAACTTACTTTCTCTCCATCAAACAAGATTTGGTGTCAGTGAGCATTTACGGCCTCTTATGTAGTAGTGCTCTTGCAGAATGAGGATTTTCCTCTCCTGAAGAGAGTAGAATGTTTGCTTTTTCTAATTCTAGGAGCAGCTTGCTTTTGTACATCTTTTATTTTTTATTTCGTATCAGTTATACCAGTGTTTCTTCTTCAGTTGAAATAGGATGTTGTTTGTCTACAGCTCACAAAATCTGTCATTTAATTCAATGCCTGAACAAATGACCTCATCCACTAACCTATGGGTGTCCAACTTTTTGTCATGTCTGGGCCACACTGAGTGAAGAGGAATTGTCTTGTGGTGCACATAGAATATATATATATAGTTAGTTACAAATTAGTGTATATAAACAGTGAAACTTACACATTTTTTGTTGTTTTGTCTTTTTTTTTTTTTTATTAAGGCATAGAAGAGCAAAAAATTTAAAACTATTGGGATATTTGTTTTTGAGAAACTAATGCATCAGTCTGGTTTGATGGCAGTGAATGCAATCATTAGTAAGCTCTCATGGTGCTCATCAGAGACTTTGATGAAATTATTCAGCAATCTTGAAACATATTCTTAAATTCCTTTATCAAAACAGAAAGTGGAACTGCATACATTTTGCTGGTATATATATATCACACATATAAATATATATATATATATATACATGATATTCTTGGGTAATATGATGTGGATAAGTCTTAAAAGTATTATCACGTTGTCTGGACAAATTTTGAAGAATTCTTAAACCAGTACTCTGACGACAGAGGCATTTGTGAATATCTCGTATAAACCTTGGATTCATAGGGTATTTTTTTTTTTCTATTCTTGTTTCTTATTGAGCTAAATACATTCAGTATTTTCCAATATAACTTGTTCAACTATGAAAGAAATATATTCCTAATTAACTTTGGTTTTGCAGAACTTAAGAGCTGCTCCAGTATTTTACTGTTTCTGAAGCAAACTCCAGGCAAACAAGGTGCAAAATAAACTGAACACTATGTACTGTTGCCCTGTGATTTACAGATAACATAAAAAGGGAGTAGGTTTGCTTTAGAGCAAGTAGCAATGAAGAATGTAATGATTTCCCAAGACAGACAATTTCCAGTCTCTTAAAACTGTTTCTGTTATTTACTTCTGTATTTAAATGGGAAGAAGGCTCCATCTTTGGTACCTGTATTTAAAACATACAGGTTTGATCTTTGGAGAAGCCTCTACCATGGTTTTTATTCACTTCATTTTCAGATTTTAAGGGACACACTTTGATAGCTGCAGTTAAACTATTATATAACATAATGCATCTCTCTGCTTGTATTTCTTTATCACAGCTGCATTAGTTTTACTTAATGATAAATTTGACAATCAGATCTGATTTCAAAATCCTAAAAGAAGCGCTTACATTTTTTCCAAGTACAATATGAAGTGAGAAAAAAACATGTCATACCATCTGGAAACAGTTCCTTGAAGGAGCAAATTAAGTAATTGGGTAAAAGTGTGATTGAGTGGTTTAGCACTGATGAACAAAATGAAAGCCACTATGTTTTTGCAGAGTTTGGAAAACACTGAGCACTAAAACTAATGCAGTATGAAAAATTATCTTATGAGATGGCATTGGAAGCACAGAGAAGATATAGAAAGAAACGACTGTCAGTGTACTGAAGACAATGGAAGCTGTTATATTACCTCAGAAAGAGAATATCCTTTATGTACTTACCTGTACACTAGTAAGAGTGGTGTATTGATAAGCTTTTACTACCAGGTAATTGGCTTCTATATCCACTATCCCCAAGATCATGTACTTCCACCATCTTCTTTTCAAAATTGCCAGCAAGTTTTCTTCTCCTGAGGTTAAAAAAGGAGAAAAGAATAATTATGTAAAAGAGGCAGATTTACGTGCACAAGGTATCTGCATATCAAGAGAAATTATCTAGAAGATCTCTTGCAGTTACAATATGCAGTTGAAAATGCATGCATAGCTAGGTAGTGCCAGGAAATGAAAACTAGCATATCCTATTTGTCTTGCAGATATTTTACAAAACAGCTTGGCAAAGTAATTTGTGAAGGTCAGACTGTTACTTCAATTGAGACATAAACAATGCTAAGAAAAACATGTAAAGCTTGGGTAGACTTTAAATGCGTTCTTAGCTCTATTTTTATGCATGCATATATATATATAAAAGAGTAAAGAATAGAGCTTCTCATTATATACACTTACACTCTCCATACATACTGATAGATGCTCCTTGCCACAAGTGGGAGATTACCAGTATTTGTAGCTACCATGAAATATGAGAACGATAGGATACCTTTCGGGTGGATGGCAGATCCTGATTAAAGGATAGCTATTATGACCCTAGAGGTCCAAAGTATTTGACCTGCTTGGAGGAAGGTTGTGCTGAAACAGACAGACAGTGTGACAGGTTGCTCTGCTCCCAGGACCAGTTTCTGAAGGAGCAAGGTTTGTTCTGTAATGCCTTTCATGGGAACCCTGCCAATCACCCCATACTTAATTTCTACCATGTGAAGACTGACAGAACAATATGACCTGCAGATCAAACCCACAACTTTCAAAAGGTCAAAGGAGTCTTCACGCCAGGCTAGGGATTATTATTGTTCCCAGTGCAAATGCTCATTAGTGAGGGGTAGGCAAACCTGCTGCTTATTTGCATGACAGTGGGCAAACTGATAGCAAGCTCAGTAAAGCTTTAAGTCTTTGAGAGGGTGCAGCCCTAACAGGGATCCAAGTGGGGTTGACTGAGAAAGTGTCAGAAACAGAATTTGAATTGCCTTGCAAGTTAAATAAATGCACCATTTTGAGATTTGTCCATGTTGACGCAGCCCTTCTAAGTGTCTGTGATCATCAAAATGGGTGGTGGAAAATATTGAAGAAAGGGAACATTACCGTCAATTGGCACTAAAATTTGTTCAGGCTTTCCAACTCTCCTTCACCATTTTCCATCATTAGAAGTGTGTTCATTCTTTGGTTCAAATGGTGATATGTGTACTACTATACTGTAAGAAATGGCAGGCTTTCTACAGTGCAGGAACATCTCAGATTTTATCAGATGCAATCGCAGAAAAATAGATAATAATTTCAGCAGTTCATTCAGAATCTGAGATGCTAAATCATGGCTCTACTGAGTGACTTGAGTGGATATTTACCTGAAGAAAGCATCTGAATCATGTGACATTTGTTCGTTAACAGATACTCACATATATACACACTTACAGGGAGATATTATTAGGCAACAACCTAATTACTTGCTGCAGTGATGATGACACTGAGTGTGAAATCATAAATGTTAAATCTTTCCTTCCTGTTCTTCTTTCCTTCCTTCTCTCTCTTCTCTTTTTCTATTTCTTCCTCTCTCTCAACAGGCAGCGGAGAAATAGAAGAAACAAGATGCTGAGGAAGCTAATTATTATAGACTAAATAAGAACAATTCAATGGTACATTCACCCATACCCCACTGTCACCACCAACTCATACAAGAGATTTCATTAAACAGAAATTCCCTCCCTTTGTTTGTACTGTGATTCAGGAACAATGCATTTCAGACATGAAATAAAAGTAAATTTATGGATTTGTTATGACGATTTGAGCATGCAGAAAGTTTTAGATCTTTTTGTATTTTTTAGATCATTTAGGAAGGCGTTTTCAAAAAAGTGTTGAAGATGAGATGTCCTAACTCCTACTAAAATCAGTGTAATGCATGCAGATAGATCCTTCCCAGGTAATGAAACTCTCTCTAATTTTCATGCTGCCCACATAATACCTTTATAATACCATTTGAAAAACACCAACGCAATGAAAAGGCTGAAAAGGCACCTCAGTGCGAATTTTGAGAATGTTTAAAAACCAAAGATATCAAATTATCAGACAGTATTAGGCTTTCAGTGCCATTGCAGTCTTTATTCCAAAAGTGAAAATCCCACCTAAGTCTGGTGTTTTCACTAAGACCCACACTTACAGAGCAGAAAGAAACAGCAGGCTCAAGCTCTGAACACTGCATTTGGCTAAGACTATAAACAAATATCAAGGAACATTTTGGTGCCTTTGGTTTGCCAGTGATTCCTTTTCCAACTTCAATTTCCAACCACAGATCACTATACTGCTCAAACGTAGACAAATGAATTAGGCATGGAAAGGAATGCATGGTCATGTGTTCTGGCTAACGGGTAAAGTCAGGGTTTCCATAGGTGGGAAATAAATCTTTTAAACTTTAGCTGATGTTCATGATTCTCCCTTTTGCTTTTTCAACCCTTTCTAGGTTAATGACAGAAATAAAAAAAAAAAAAAAAATAAGTGGCGAGTGGTGTTTTATCTTTGATGTAGAGCTCTGAGATGTTCCCAGCTGCAAAAGATCAAGTTGAGCTGAGAAGGCTCTGCAGAGCAAAAGGTAACGATGAAATGAATTTATGCAGGCACCATATAGCTTTGACGAACATGGTTTAGCTTCACAGCAAGTGTCTTTGTCTGACCCAGTGGAAAGCTGAGAGATGTACAGGCATTCAGCACGACAGAAATAAAACAGAGAATGTGTTCCTGGAAGAAAAATCTTGTGCAGGAGCTGCATTTCTCTGTGGAACACAGTTAGTCTTTGCTTCCATTCCCAGGCTGTAATTCATTATATCTGGTATGTAAGAAACATTCGGTTTCTGACGTGGGTCCCTTTGTTTGGACTGTTATTATCTTTGATCATTAACGTATCAGTTGCATAAGTATCAGCAAAATTGACCCACTCATCTGAAGCTTTACCTGAGGAAAAGCCACGTATGTTTGACTCACTGTTAGTATAGGGAACAGCAGTTGTTCACTATTCTCTGTTTCTTTAGCACTGTAATCAGAATTCACAGAGGGAATTAATTTAAATTGCTCTTGAAATGGAGGGAGAGTTTATGCAAACAGGGCAGGGAACAGAAGATGATCATCTGCAGTGGGTGTCAATTTAAAGCTATGTACAAATCAAAAGGAGGTAGGTGGAGTCCTTGTTTGGAGATGGGGCTGAAGCAAATTCACCATACTGAAAGGCAATCATTCATAGAGAGTAGAAGGCAATGGTTTCTGTGGCGATGTGCCTGCCAGAAGAAGACCTCTGGACACTGATCACAGATGGCATCCTTAGTGAATACAGTGTCAACAGAGAGAAGAGTAATGAGACTCACAGTTAGGTAGATTAGCCTCTATTTAATTTGGGGAGACTATGATGAGAAGCTGAGGGTATCAAGAGGTTCATTCATAAGTCTACATCCTAAACAGGAATAAATATCAGTTTTGCACTAGAACCTAAAAGGGGAGAAAATCACTCAAAGTCCAAAACAAAAAGAGACATTGTCCTCTTTTTTTTTTTTTTTTTTACTTTGCTTTGATGACAAATCACAGCAAAATTAATTAATTGAGTAATACAAGTTATAAGCCTTCTTGAATGAAGGAGCAAAAGTAGATGCCTAAACCTGAACTACTTGGTAAGGCATTTTAAAACATTAGAATTATTCATCTGACATATTCCAGATGGATTGTTTAGGATGAGATAATGGGTGTTTTGCAAACAAACATCTCTCCTACTGAATGTAAAAGCAGGAGAGATTGTGTCAGATTGTGTGTTTTTGTTATTATCTGAAAAGGACTGTGACTAAGGCTTCCAGGCAGTCATAAAAACAAATAATCAAACTGACAAGCACAGGTTAGCTCGAAGGCAACATTTCCTGCAAGCCAACAGAACACACTGGTGCTGGTAAACACGTGTTTATGTGAGTGTATGGAGTAATGCCATCCAGACACTGCCATTTGCTGATGGAAACTCCCTTTCAAAAAACAAAAGCTTCTGTCAGCACTTGGATACTTTGAAAACTTGAGCTTTTATATTCAATCTAATCCAAATGTACTGTAGAGTTAAATCACATATTAAGAATGTTTTTAGATTCAGAAGCCTAACATACTGTTAGCACAGAGAAACACAAACTCTCTTTCTTCTTTAGAGGATAGGATTAAGTTTTTTTTAACCTAATTTCGCAGTGAAACACACATTTGTCAGTTATATATACAGAGAAACCCTTGGAGTCGGAAAAAAAAAAAGCTACAGCTTTTTGCCTCTACTGGCTCAAATTAAAAATCAACAAATAAGCTGCTTTGTAGAAGAGATGATTTTACACCATATAACAAGGATTTACCCCTGGGGGTTTACAAAATTAAAAATAAATTAGAGAAAATTAAAAGAGGCTTTAGCTGTGCAGTGTCTACTGAAAATGCATATGTACATGTGCAAAAACACTTTCGCATTCACCCACACAGATGCAGAGGTACAATTTAAAAAAAAAAAAAAAAAAAGACAGCAAATTCCCAATTATTTGTATATAGGCTTGGGACACCAGTGGAATAACAGCTCTGTTAGACCAGAAAATAAGCATATTGCTTCTCTTTCATCTGCTGCAGTCTCTATCTTTTAATTCAAATGACAACTTGCTATTTAGATCAGGATCATCAAAGACACTAGGCTCCCCTTATACTTTGCAGCACAGAGCTCAGCAGAAGCAATCTAAATGTATGCAGGAGGCTTGCAGAAGGGAAGGTGACATAGGAGTGTGGAGAGGGAAGGCTGCCTGGTGTCCTGTTTCTGCTCTATCCTGCCGGGAGTGCCAAAATCAAGTGGTAAAGAGGCAGAAGTCTCACAGAGGATGAGGATCAGATCTGAATTATCACTGCTTTGAACAGCAACCTGAATTAAAACACACAACAATGGGCTAATTGTTTCTTCTCCGTTTTCACACATTATAACATATAAAGTCCTGCAGATAAGGAATTTCACCATTAACAGCATCACTTCTTTGCAGCCTCTGCAATC